TTTTTTTAATATTGTTATTAATATTAACAATTTTTTTTAATATACAAATTACGAATTCATTTCCATTTGAATCTTTCGCTTTTTCAAAATACTTCCACACAAAACCATGCATTACGTTTTGTTTTTTTAAAGGTCTTCCGGAACCGTTGCTTAAATCATTGGACCTTATATCGGAAATGTTTATTAGTTCACATGTAAAATTATCATCAACAACACCACCACCATTGGCATTGACTATTAATTGTTCAAAAAAAAATTTTTAATTGACTATATTAGTAGATTCCAACCTCTATTTTATCTGATAATGATGTACTTGCACGTGATTATCATGATTGTTATTTTTATTATTGCTTTTGTTTTTTTTTTTTACTAACATCATCAATGTCCGCCATGCTTGAAAAATATATTAATATTAATAAATACATTTATTTTGCATGTTAAAAAAAACAAAAAATGGATAATTATTTTTATATCTGTATTATCGCTGTATTAATGAATAATAATAAAGCTAGCTGATTTCATAAACATAGTTTTGCATGTGTTTCCAGAATCAATACTGCTGTATGCCCAAGGGAACGATTTTCAGTGTTATATTTTTGTCATTTGCTATTATATATTATGTGTCAGAAATGCTGGAAAAGCTATAAATGTTTGCAGGAGCGAGATTTTGTGGTCTTCAATTTTACTAAATCAGTGGATAATTAGATTGGGGTGGAACACACCATCGAAGTTAGAATGAGACAAGTTAAATCTGGCATTTTTGTTTGTGCGTTATAACGTATATCCACACAAAATTCAGTGATTGCGTCATATTTTAATGTCAAGTAAATGGATTTTTTTTTGTTACATGTGTGTATTGAATATTTATATACATTTTAAGAGCCATTAAATGATGTTTTAAAGCTAATAAAATCATATAGCGGATTCATAAATCAAATTATTCTTTTGCTTTTCTTGTACGAGTTATGCGACTGTGTTCACAAATGGAATAGTCCATGGCATATGTTGATACTCGTTGGGTTCGATATAATCTTGCCTTTTCAGTTAATATTTCATCATGGATCTTTTGTATACGATGCAAAGTTTCCTATATTAAAAAACGAAGATGATTAGAGATTTACAAAAACATAAAAATGTAATTACTGGATAAATAACGATACCTTACCTCAACACGCATCAAAGATATAATAAGTTTCTCTATAATTTGCAAATTATCGATTGATAAGGGTAATTTAACTTTTTGAAGCAAACCTAGGCGCCAAACTCCTCTTGTTTTCCAATCCAACCTGTATATGTTATAATTATAATCTAAAATCAAATAGATCGTGTTATGCAATAGGAATGTACCAAAAAAAAATTAAAATTATTGAACTTACTAAATGTGTGTACTCCGAGAATAAAAAGATTGTGAAACTTGTTTGGATCTATGCCATTGTTTTCTATTCCTTCATTTATCAACACATCTCATAACGCAACTGCTAGATCAACTTTGTCCATCCATTTTTTACTTTTTGGTGTCGAGGGAAGACCACCAGATCTTAATCCAATTAACATTTCAAATTGATCCTTGCTGATTCTGAAATCCATCTTTTGTCCAATTAAGCTTCTGTCAGTGGGCTTGGTTTTCATGTTGGTGATTACTGATGAAGCAAGACCTTGAATTTCTCCTCTGTGCATTGCAAATTAATAGGTGAATCAAATTGACAAATACATAAACAACAAATAGCCAATAAAAAACCTACTCTTCATAATGATAAATTTGGTCAAAAGTTAATATCCCTCTGGTAATCGTATTTGTGAAATTGCTACCAAATGGAGGTTGTACAGTTGTTATTACTACTACTACTAAAAAAAAAAAAAAAAGTATAAGCCTATATTATTAATTATAATAAAAATATATAATAATTACTCATTTTGAACTAAATCTTCAATATTTTTTTCCAAGTTATCGTCAACTTCCAAATTTTCGTTAACTTCCAAATTTTCGTTAACTTCCATATTGTCGTAAACTTGCAAATTGTCATAAGCTTCAAAGTCGTTGTTACTATTACTATAATCATTCTTTTATTGTGTAAAATAAAGAATATAAATTTACAAAAATCAAAACAAATAAAAAAAAAGGAACATATAAGTAGAAAACTTGTCGGATCTTACCTCGACATAATTGTCTATAATTGTTGATGCTTTTATTATGATATTTTTTAAATTTACTAATATATTTTGATTACCAAGTGCCTCTTTTGTAATATTCGCTGATATGTTGTGATTCAGGCTTAGTTGGTTTACTATGCTTTCCACAATTACTTCCTAATTTTCCATGTCATGGGGAAAAAAAAGTCAAAGCCTCATTAAATAAAATAATTAGTTTGATATTCGAAGAGAATGTGATTTACTTACGGATTGAGCGCGTCTATTTCTTCAAGTATGGAAATTAACGTGATAGGAAATGTTTTATTAATACCATTATTTTTTAATAACTAGAGTGACGACGACAGGTGGCGGGCGATAACCACCACCACCATCCTTAAAAAACACTTGCCCAGCAATTTCAGGTACGAATTCTCGTCTTCTTTTGTTAGTATTGGATTTTGACATTGAAAGAATTAAAAAGTTTGTTTATTTGATCGACGTGTACACGCTAATTATTTATCCTATTGGTTTTTTTTTTGGTAGGACAGACGCGGATTGATTTTTTTTTTTTTTGGAAAAACAATTTATTTATTTTTTGACAGAGCCCAAGGTGACAAAACGTGAGTGTTGTTGTTTGGTTTGGTTTGGGTTGGGTCTCTTAAAGAAAATGTGTTAATAACTAACCAGAGGTCCTATTTTTACTTGTATTGATTGATATTTTTATTTTGGTTTATAAACATTTTAATTGGAAATCAAAACGCGGAGCAGATCTTGCTGAGGTAATTACAAGATTTTCATTGATAATATTTTACTTTTCGTAATCAACACTAATATTAATATTATAAATATTATAATCACAAGAAGATGTCACCGTTGAAAAAGAGACATTTTGAGTATGTGATGTTTGATTACAGGAAAATAGCAGGTGTTGAAGCACACACGCTATCTTGAACACTTACAGTCATTCTCACATCTTCCTCATGTACACAAGGCTAATCTGACTAGTGTGCTCCGATGATATGATGATGCAACTGAATTTTCAGGGGGGGGACGTGGCTCTGAGATTTACTGAGATTGCACCAATCGTCAATGATGCTTTCACTAATCTTCCCAGACCAGAGATGGCTGCTGCCACGCTGACCGAAAAGTCATCTGCAATGATCCACTTATAGGGTAAGGATGGCACCATGACCAAGCTGTTGCAACTCTGGAGAATCTGCAACTCGTTCCAAGCACAGGATGTCACAATTCAGAGCAGGGTTGGTGGCCCTGAAATTGCATTTGGGCTCTGATGTTAAGAGGAAAGTTGTAAAATAGT